TTTTTTTTTTTATTTTTTATTATTTTTGATTTGTTTAATATTGTTAATTTCGTAAACATTGATTTTTTTGTTTTTTTTTTTGTTTGTTTGTAGGGTTGAGTGGTAGAGAGGAACTTGATTCCTAACTCCGCCCTACGTATTGCTTTTGTATAATTATTGTCATTATTTTTTTTATTAATAAAGCCAAGTTATTATTATTATTATTATTATTTCTTAGTCTTAGGACAAACAAGTGTCTTTTGACACTTATTATTATTATTGCGAATGTTAATAATTAGTGATTTCGAAATCTCATAAGCAGAATGTAATTGTGGCTACTCACCGCTTGTCGTCAAATGCGTGCGGTTTATCAAATTATAAAAGCTTACATTTTGGTTGACCTGGCCGCCTAATAGGCATCTATGTTTAATTAGACAACAACATAAACAATGAAATTATTACCATTGCTGCATTCATACGTTAGAGAACTATCAAGCTGTTTAGGTGATCGAATAAAAAGCTTTCCTGCACTAATCGATGACTCATAAAAGCTCACTAGAAGAAATCGCCGTTCTACGTAGGAATAAAATAGACGACCAGCTACCTGATTAAGGCGACCTTTGCCATGAAGGTCCGTTGCTGCTACTTTTTTAGGTTGAAGTTTAACTGAAGTCGAAGGTGATTTGAACGCTTTTCATTAATCGAATTAATGGCCACGCAACTCTTAATTCACGACACGAGAAGTACTTACTAAAGAGAGTAAAGATAGTTAAGATATCTCATATCTATAGCATCAATGACACAATTCATAAATATTGAGGTGAACTGTTGATTGATGTCTACAATTTTAATAAGATATATATTTTCGAGCTTAGTTAATCTTTAGAGCCATTCTATGCACACTCTTCCTAATTCTTACNATTCGAAAGCCTAGGTAATCTACCTCGGTCTGGAGAAATAAGCATTTATCCAAGCGCAACTGTAACCATATTCACGGACTAACTCCAAAACCCTTTGAAGTCTGTCAATTCCTTCTTCTATAGTTTGGGAAACCACTAGAATATCATCCATGTATATCAGTATAATTTTTTCGTATAACAGGGGTGCGAAAATCTTGTTTATGTACCTCATGAAAACTGGAGGACTGTTAGCTAATCCAAAAGGCATATAATTATATTCCCATAAGCCATTATGCGTAACGAATGCAGTTTCATCCATTTCTTAAATCGAGTACTGTAAAGTATCGCTGAGCGGAGAGAGCATCTATTTGATCATTTATGAGAGGAATAGGAAATTTATCTCTGTTATTTTATTAAGTGCTCGGTAATCTACACAGAGCCTTTTCTCCCCATTTTTCTTGTCAACGAGAACAACTGGGCTAGCATAATCTGATTTACTTGGCCGTATTATCTCTTTGTTTAACAGTTCATGAACAATTTTATCGACATGTTCTTGTTCGCTCTTTGGTAGTCTTCTAGGTCTGTACACCACTGGTTCCTTTGTGGTTAAACAAATTTCCATTTCAAATTCAAGGAGTCGTTTAAGTTCTTCGCTTGTATTCAATGTGGTTTGAATAAGCTTTGAAACTTTGTTTCGGTTGTCGGTGCCGATTTCGTCACTTATTGTTAAGTTTTCAGGTTCGACCTTTATGTTGGCAATTCCCTTTTCTATTCGAAGTACTACAGATGGTTGACGAAAAAAATCTGTTCCGACGATGATAGGTACTGGTATAGCAGAGTCCTGAACTACATAGAATTTTGTTTTGAACATATTTTCCTTTATTCCGACAGTCAATTTTGCAAGACCTATGTTTTGACAGGTTGCACCGTTTAATCCGGACAGAGTAATAGGTTTTACTTCCGAATCTGTCTCGAGATAACAAATATCCAGCTCATGTACTTTGCTTTCGGATATCAAATTAACTGAAGAACCTGTGTCTGTTAGTGCTTGTTGGACGGTACCATTAATTGTTAACGATATCATCATGTTATTTGTTTTGCTTTCTACGATCATCGTAGATTTTCGCTCTATCTTGCAGTCTCTTGCTAGGTGACCCTTTGCTTTGCATTTCGTACAACACACTAGTGGACAATCGTTCATGCGATGTACACCATCCATGCAATACGGACAGGTTGCTTTGTCGCCTAGTTTATGTTGTGTTGCAACAGTATTTTCAATGGCCGTTTTAGCTTTCGAACTTTGCTCTGTATCCTGATGTTTGATATCTCTATCTTTGGAGAAGCGAAGGTCTTCCTTCTCTTTTCTTTTATGCCTTTCGTCTGTAAGGGCAATTTTGGGATCGGTGTCCACTTTTCGTAATCCTTCAAAGGATATGTACGCATCGGCTTGCTTCAGTAACTCTGTTGTAGTTTTTGGTGTATTTGTATAGAATTGCTTTGCTAGCGAGGCGTCATAAAGGCCCTGTATAATATAGGCAACTACGCTGTATTCATCAACGTGACCGGACGCAATTGATTTCATCGAGAAAACATACGTTCGCAACGATTCGCTCTTCTGTTGCGTTCGCGCACGTAATCTTCGATGTACGTCAACAGAATGTACGTGTGTCGAAAAGTTTTCAAAAAAGCATGTTTTGAACTCATGCCATGTGTTCAAATTTAGTTCGGAATCGTTCCACAGCTTTGCAGCGCCGCGCAGTTTTAATTTTGCGTGAATCATGGTATTTCTATCGTCTAAACCATAAAATGATCGCGCATGTTCGACAGATTCAACGAATCTTTCAGGTGTAACTGAATTCCCGTCGGGATCGTATTCAAGTATTGCATTTTGTGCTTCGGGTTAATGACGTCATTTGAGGTACCTGGCTGATTACTTGTCGTCGATGGCATGGTAGCTCGCGTAGAAAACGCTGTTTGATATTGTATCGGGTTTGCTTGAGAAGTGTTTAAAACGTACGGTGGACAATAAGTCGAAACGTTAAGAGGTAGTGCCATTCCGGCTGCAGAACACGGGGCTTGCGTCATCTAGTACGGTTGCGGCGGCATCGCTTGTGATACAGGCGGCTGAGAGAACGAGTTGGCGGCCATGATTGGCGGTTGGCGTCTCAAAAACGGAGATGGAATTGTATCGTCGAAATTTGTTAATTGTGCAGGTGGATTATTAGCGGTTTGGGCAATTTGTTCAACTATCGGATCGTTCGCGGTGAATTGAGGACAAGGAAAGGGAGGTACGCTTTCGGATCGAGGCTGTGGCTCGACGTTCGATTGATGCTCCTCTTCGTTATCGCGATGGCTCATGATTTGCGGTTTTACTTACGATTTTTGTCTCTATTCACTTCTTTCCGAATATTTCGAGTCGAATCTCACTTCTGAAGCTGAAGTACTAAAAGTCTCGCTGTTTATTCACAGATTTATTTAACGAAAAAATACAAGAACTGGAAAAACACATACGAACACTTTAACGGTCCAACTACTTCTGTTGTGTTCTTCATGGACTCGTCCGAACATGTGGTCACCGTCATCGATCGATGACGTGATCGTAGCGGCTACAGTGTATACAGGTCAAGTGTTATGCAGATTGATTTTTGTGCCGACTTTAAAATCACCAAAGCGCATAAACACGTAAAGACTTGCTTTACTTTATTTCGATATACAGAATGAGTCACACTTGATACACAAAGAATTGTCCCGAACAAGGATTATTTAATTAGGTGTGCGACACGTCATATCACTANTCTTTCAGGCTGAACACGAATTGTAGAGAATTTATTATTTTATTTTTTAAAACATTTAGATCTTTTTCGAAGTGTTGATTCCATTCAAATATTATGTTATCTTTTAAAAGTTCACTCATATTTGCCGTTATTTCTGCATAATTTGGTATAAGTTTGTTTAAATAATTAAAGAATCCTAATATTCTTTGCAATGATTTTTTATCTGTTGGTGATTTCAACTCAGTAAAAGCAGTAAAAGCTTTTATTTTGTCATTATCAGGCTTTATTGTTTCTTTATTAAAAATATGTCCCAAATAATTTATTTCTTCAGCCTTAAGTATATATTTTTCTTTATTAAATTTTATTTTTTGTTTATGAGTAATTTCAAACATTTGTTTTTTCTTAATTTCTAATTCCTCCCAATTTTTGGCATGTATCAAAATACGTTAGATGGAGTTTTTCATTCAATTGCAATTATAATGGGAAAAAATGTTTTCATTTCTACTCTACTTACTGGTGTCCATGCGTGTATCCTTGCACTTCTTTGATTTGTAGTACCTTGTTGTAGTTGAAGCGCATACCTGTTAGTCATAAAATCTTTGAGAAGAATCAGAACTATCTGAGAGGAATCAGAATTAATATGGTAACTTGACTAAACTTTATATTTTAAGAGCAGAAGAATCCATATTGATAAGAGTTTTTGTTGAAGTACTANTCTTTCAGGCTGAACACGAATTGTAGAGAATTTATTATTTTATTTTTTAAAACATTTAGATCTTTTTCGAAGTGTTGATTCCATTCAAATATTATCTTATCTTTTAAAGGTTCACGCATATTTGCCGTTATTTCTGCATAATTTGGTATAAATTTGTTTAAATAATTAAAGAATCCTAAATGTCCAGGCCTAATATTCTTTGCAATGATTTTTTATCTGTTGGTGATTTCAACTAAGTAAATGCAGTAAAAGCTTTTATTTTGTCATTATCAGGCTTTATTCCTTCTTTATTAAAAATATGTCCCAAATAATTTATTTCTTCAGCCTTAAGTATATATTTCCCTTTATTAAATTTTATTTTTTGTTTATGAGTAATTTCAAACATTTGTTTTTTCTTAATTTCTAATTCCTCCCAATTTTTGGCATGTATGAAAATACGTTAGATGGAGTTTTTCGATCGAAAAAATTGACAACTATAATTAGGTAATTGGGTGTATCAAAATATCGTCTTGAAATACTATAACACCTTCTATTCTATAAAATGTATATCGCCCAAAAGGTGTTTGAAAAGTACAAATGTTAGCGCTTTCTTCGTCTAAAGGTAACATCCAGTATCCCGAGTTAGCGTCTAATTTAGCAAAACATTTTGAACCGTTTAATTTAGAAGCAATTTCTTCTATTGTAGGAAAAGGATAATGGGATCTTTTAAGAGCTTTGTTTAATTGCTGTGGATCCAAACAAATTCTTATTTTAGCACTCGATTTTTTAACAATTACGATATTATAGACCCACTCGGTCGGTATATTTACTGGACTAATTATTTTTAATTTAACAAGATTATCTAATTCATCTTTTAATAGATTGTGTAGTAAAAAAAGTATTCTTCTAAAAGAAGCAACTTTAGGTTTTACCGATTTATCTAATAATAAATGAATTTTTGTATTAATACATCCTATTTCATCACTAATTACACTTTCATATTCAGTAGCAATAGCATTTACCTTTGTATGACATTTAATTTAATACAAGCATTTAAACCTAGTATGTATATTGTTAAACTTTTCTGTAATATACGACGATGTCTATTGGGAAAAAATGTTTTCATTTCTACTCTACTTGCACTTCTTTGATTTGTAGTATCTTGTTGTAGTTGAAGCGCATACCTGTTAGTCATAAAATCTTTGAGAAGAATCAGAACTATTTGAGAGGAATCAGAATAGAATGTTTAGTCACTTGACTAAACATGATATTTTAAGAGCAGAAGAATCCATATTGATAAGAGTTTGTGTATACAAGTCAAGCGTTATACAGATTGATTTTTGTGCCGACTTTAAAATCACCAAAGCGCATAAACACGTAAAGACTTGCTTTACTTTATTTCGATATACAGAATGAGTCACACTTGATACACAAAGAATTGTCCAGAACAAGGATTATTTAATTAGGTGTGCGACACGTCATATCACTATTTATTTTGTAATAGAGATCCTTATGTATTCCCAAATATGCCTGTGAAAAAAATTTTTACAAAACATTGAAAAATTAAAAAGTTATAGTATCCGTACCTAGAAAAAGGACAATGTTCGCGCCGCAACTCCGCAAATCTCCTTTCCGGTTAAATGTCTCGTACCGCAGCGAACGTGTTAAGTACTTACATTATGATGTTGTCGGTTAAGATACAACCCATGTTCGCGAATTTGAACAATGTATTTGTAGGTATTTGATATACCTAAAAAGTATTGTTTTAAAAACATTTATTCTGTACTTTAATTTGGCAAAAACTTAATTCAACGTCATTCTTTTTAGATTCAAACTTGTTGATATTTTGACTGCATCTAATTCTTATGAATATCAAGTATTAATTCTAGAAAATTTATTTCTGGTGTGTACCGAACAAAAACTTATGAATTTGTCAAACGATATGTTTCCGGATGCAGAGTCATTACAATATGGTCTAAAAAACTTTGATATGAAACATTTCAATTATTCGGCACGCACATTTCTTAATATAACTAATCAAATTTATGAAAGAGTTTTATCGGTAATCGTCGATGCCATTGATATTGATGGAAATCCAATTTACGGACCAGTGGTATGCTTCTGTTACTACTGATTTATTTTATTATATTTTATAAACTATTTTTATAGGACACAAGATACCAACGTCAACCATTGTGGGTTGATTTCAATAAATATTCAATTTCAATTTATTGTGAACAAAAATCGACAGTATTTTCTCAACAACATGGAAATAATATGATGTGGGAACTTATTACAGTCTTTTATGATGATATAGACGATCATGCTCATTTTAAGTAATTTTTAATCATCTCTTGAGTTTTTCTTATTAAAATATCTATACATTTAAGGTCTGCAAACGTTAATAGTACCCTTGTATTTAAAATATTCTTAAAAGACAAAGTGGACGTTATTTTTTACTCTACACGGAAGGAAGAAAAATGCAAAGTTGTTTCGATGGTGATTAATAATAGCAAGACATTTGAAGGAATAATGAATACGATTATATCGAGGATAAATGTATTCAAAAATATACAATCACACAAGGGTCTCCCCACTACCGGTATGTCTACTTCTCTTCTTTTTTTCCTACTAATATTGAATAATATTATTAATTTTAGAATTTGATGAAACAATGTCTACAATCGCTAATCGAACTCAATCGTTTAAATCATTAAATGAAATGTATCAATTTTCTTCTCCTACCTCCTCTTTAACAGTACAAAGTCCATCACAAGATTACACACGTTTACTTAGTAATCAAGTAGCAGCCGATAGTACTGTTGATGATGATTATTTAACCAATATCAATCAGAGGCATCCATCAAACATTCTTCAGTGTACATCGTTTATTAAACATGTATCGATTGCTCAAGGTAAGTACAATTACTGATTTCTTGTCCCACTTGACAATAACAATCAAAAACCAGAATTGTTTATAAGCTGTGCATGGCGTAGCAATTTATTATTTAAAAACTTAAATTTAACCTGTCTTTAAACTCAATGAATTCTACATTTTACATTTTCGCAAATGTTTTCCACTTCAGATATGACGTTACCTTAAGTAATTATTACTAACATTTGGCAATCAAGTTTCTTAACAAATAATAAGATCATTATATCACTTAAGACTAACGCTAATTATCTGTAGAACAGCTTGAGAAGTTTCGGTTCAATGAAAAAATAGCCTCATTAAAATGATAACTCTCGGTAGGAATGCACTCCTCTAGGCGGCCTTTAAAGTTTCTCATGACTCACCTTTAACTATTGGCTGTCGACCTACACTTTAGCCTTTAGATAGCCTCAGACAAAACTCACAGGAGTTAAGTTCTGGGGAGCATAGAAGCCAGAGAACATCACCACTTCGAAAAATCGCGCGTTGGCGAAATGTCGTTTTCAGTCTATGGAAACCCGCGTGGTATGACCCGAAGCTCTGTCCTGTTGGAACCAGATACTGCCAGTGTCAATGTCATTTTCTTCAATATGAGGAATTAAAAATACTTGAAGTTCTATTACGAATTCCACACCACACTGTCATCTTTTGGTTACGTAGAAGCAGTCGATGTAATTCTAGCGGAGTATCAGGTGACCAATAGCGACAATTTAACTTTTTGACAAAACCGTCAAAAAAAGTGAGCCTCATCTGACAACATTACTATTACATCTAATATACACACTGAATTTCTGATGTTGACGGTAGTCTATCGGAAACAGCCCTTGAACACCCATAATTTTGTAAGAGTGAAAATGTAGATGTTTAGATAAAATGTTCTTGTCTAGTTGACTGGCTTAGACTCTGAATAAGACATTCTTACGCGATCGACATTTTCCTGTGGGAGTACATTCGACCACTCTTCTTTATCTTCACACTACCGACTCGCTATTGTGAAAAAATTGTCCGATCCCACCGCTTCATTACAAAAACGTCCGTTTTCGTGTAACCTTCTGCTTCAGGTGTCGTCTCAATTCCAAATGTTGGCAATCATTAAGATGATTTTGTGACCACACTTGACCACTTTCAATAATTGCTTGCTGGTACATCCCTAAGGTTTCTTATTGTTAGTCATGACTTTCGTCTCCTTCCTATCAATCAGTTTTTGATCAATCAATATTGACTGTACTAGATTTAGAAAAATAATATAAATAGGGGAAAAAAATTTAAAATCTACACCAAAAAGTTGTGGATTTTTTCACAAATCGTTTATAATGATTTTATCGCCTATATCCACTACTTTAATAATAATGCCGTTTGTAAACGAGATTAAGG